CACTGCTGGTGGGAATGCAAGATGGTGCAGCCACTTTGGGAGGCATTTGTGGTTTCCTACAAAACTCACCGTGCTTGTATCATGCAACAAACTAATGGTGCCCCTTGGTGTTTACTCAGAGGAGTTGTAAACTTACGTCCACACAAAAACCTGCACGTGGATGTTTAGAGCAGCGTTATTCGTAACTGCCAACTTGTAACTGGCAATCTGTAAGCAACCAAGACGTCCTTCAGTAGGTGAATGGACACATCCGGACAGCGAGATATTGTTCAGGGTTAAAAAGAAGTGATCTGTCAAGCCGTGAAAAGACGTGGAGGAAACTTAAGTGCATGTGACCAAGTGACAGAAGTCAATCTGGAAAGGCTTCCTACTGTGTGGCTCCAGCCATGTGACACTCTGGAAAAGGCAAAACTGTGGAGACATAAGGATCAGTTTGTGGGGGGCTGGGAGGAGGGATGAACAGGTGGGGCAGAGACTTTTTAGGGCAGTGAGCCAACTCTGTGCAACACGGTAATGATGGATACGTGTCGTTACACATTTGTCCAAATCCACAGAATGTGCGACACCGAGATTGAGCCCTAACGTGGACGCGGGACCTCGGCTGATGCTGAGGTGTCAGTGCAGGTTCATTGACTGTAACAAAGGCACCACTCTGGTGGGGGATGCTGATGGCGGGGAGGTTCGGGGGGTGTCAGAGGATACACAGGAAATTTGTACCTTTTGCTCAATTTTGCCCTGAACTGAAATTTTCTCTAAAAAAAATAAAGTTTAATAATAAAAAGGAGTGCAGTACTGAAACACTACAACATGAATGAACCTCGAAAACATTGTGCTGAGTGGAAGAAGCCAGGCACAAAAGGTCACCTGTTGTATGTGACGCCGTTTCTACGAAACGTCCAGAACAGGCACATCAGTAGACAGACAGGAGACAAGGTTGCCAGGAGCTGATGGGAGGGGGAGGAAGGAAGAGGAGTGACAGCTAAAAGGGTGATGATAAAGTTCCGGAACCAGTTAGTGACGGTTGCACAACATTGTGGATGCACTTAATGCCACTGAATTGTACACTTTAAAATGGTTAATGGTTAATTTCACTTAAGTGAATTTTTACT